CTCTCTCTCTCTCTCTCTCTATATATATATATATATATAAACGTTTCTATATAACATTTGTTGGTTGCTATAGAATAAGTTATGATACAAATGATTAGTTGCCTAGTATCACCTCTCACGACATCTCTTACGTAAACAACACCTGCATGCGCCCGGTGGTTGCCAAGTCAACTAGCTCTCTGTAAATTAAATACGAGGAATCATTATCTCCCTCATATATATTTGCCCGGTGGTAAGCAAACTATTTTGTCGTTTATAATAATTGTGAATTGATAATTTGTGTAAAACAAGTTAGTATTAAAATAAAATAATAAAAAAATGTAACACAAACTAGTTCGATTTATTTATTTATTCTTCTCGTGCCCGGTCAACTCTTGTGCCCGGGTGGATTTCTACCACCTCTAAACAAAGACCAAGCATCAAAAAGGGCAAAAAAAAAAAAAAAAACTTTGAAAAGACCGTCCTTTACACCTTGCCCTTCTACAATAGGGCAAGTTAGGCCAGCCCAAAGCAGGATAGCCCACGAACAGAATGCTCAAAAAAACAAAAAAAAATGTTTCCTTTGTGTAATGGGAGAGAACTGTTGAAATAATGAGGCCCTCTATAGATCCTAAGTGGCAATTTTGCACATGTAACGAAGAAAAATCTTCCATTGTGTTCTCTAGTGGTACATAGTGAGAAATATCTTCCCCACATCTGTCCCTCAAACTGGCCTTATCCCTAATAGGCGTTTATGAGGAGGGAAAAGACTTGTATGAAGAAAATAAGCTTGGACGGGGTGGATTTAGAGGCCAGTCTACAACACCGCAATTTAGTTAGGCTCCTCGGTTTTTGCCTGGAAGGAAATGAAAGGCTTCTCGTCTCTGAGTTTGTCCCAAACGCAAGCCTCTCCCGATCAATTCATATTTGGTACTCCTGGAATTCTAGTATATTTTGAAAATGCATATCGGAAAAGTTCATTTGTGTGGCATCATGGCATGCTTCTAAAAAAACACACTGCAACAAACATTATACAAACGGTTCTTTTTTGCTTGAATATCTAGATCCAATCAAAAGCGTTGATTTGAATTAATTGGGATAACTGCTACAAAATCATAGTAGGAATTGCCCAGGGACTCCTTTACCTTCATGAAGATTCTCTTCTTCCAATTGTTCACCGTGATTCGACAGCTAGCAACATTTAGTTTGAAAATGAACGCAAGAATTTCAGATTTCGGCATGTCAAAGCTGTTTCTAATCGAATTTTGGCATGTCAAAGCTGTTGTATACTAAACTACGCTACATACTCATGCATGTTATGGTATACCAATACCTTTAGGGCTTGTTTGGTACGTCAGACTGTATTGACTAATTTCTGTCGGATAATATTAATTTGTTTCGGAGAGTATTGACTATTTATTCATAATATTATTAGGCATTTAGTGCTGTTTCGGATAAATAGTCTCACTAAGTTATATTGTGTTTGCTGCTGTTCCGGATAAAATCAGCTTCTACAGCTCCTCCTCCGCCCAAAAAGACGTTGAAAGAGTCTATGCAATCGGGCTCACCCGGATTCTTGCGGTAGTTGCCTCTGGTGATGTGCCTGCCACCTCCAATCCTGAATATATCTTAAGTGATTTGAAGCTTATCACCTCATCGTCAGCTATTTTAATTACCTCCACCTTACTGTTGGTTGTGCTTCTTCTCGCGGGATTTGGACTTGTCTTCAGACTCACTTTCCTTAAGCTTCGATTTGGTATAGAATTTAAAAGTTGTTTTCTTTTTTAATACAACCAATTCTTATTCTTGACGTACAATTCAAACATATCAGGCAGCGTGAACTCTACGACAAGAAAAGCTCACAAATCATCGAACATGTGTTTAAATCTCTCTTAAACAAATTTTTTTTCATCAGGTCCTCTTCTCCGACCCAGTACATACAGTATGAACAAATAATACTATTGCATATATTGAAAATATAAACTGAGACACTCAATACATGTGGTCAGAGGTTCGAAATCCAAACATCCCATGAATATGTGTGTAAACTCCCTTCCCCAATCACGTGCATAAAAAAAAGGTCAACTGTAAGAATTAGAAATTGTAATAAAATGTTTTTTTTTTTTTTTTGAAAAATATTTCTATAAAATGGGAACAAAAAAATGAAATTGTATATTCAGGATCTGAAAATGTGACTCATAGAACTTTTGCCATGTGTAAAAAAAAAAGAGAGAGATATTTAGAAATCCTACAAGTGTAGGAAAATCATCAAAGAAAATATTGCCAATTGTAGCATCACAAAGTGAATGTAATTCCACTCTCATATTCAATTTATTCACAACACTTACTTATATATTGAAGTAACCCCATGACTATGTTTCCCTAATTATATGTAATAAGAATCAACCAAATCCAAATTTTGACCCAACCATCTTTTGAACCTCTAATTCTGAAAACAAATGCTGTATTATAGGTGCCCAGCTCATTGTGGCATGATCTTTTAAAATCGTCACTTGTTTTTTTTATAAATATAATATAAGTAATAGTTTAAACTACAAGAGGATGAGATTTCTCACACACTATCACAGTGTCATATAGGTTCGAACTTGAAATCACTTACTTGCAAATTAATACCTTTTTATTATGGTACACAATCAGAACAGTTTTACATAAAAATTTTACAACGCTCACATTACGTTTACAAACTCAGATTGTCAAACGCTCTAATTGCTTTTACTTTACAAACATTAAAAGCAGTTTTATTGAAAGCAAAACAATAACAAACTAGCCCATATTTTAACGAGTCCCTGCAATCCAAACCAGAATAGAAAACAGTCAGCAAACTATGAAGTGGTCACGGAAAACACAGTCAGCAAAGCGATCACACCCATGATCCGTAATAAGGGTGCAAGTTGGATTGGAAAATCCAATTCCGATCGATTTCGTTTTGAAAATTTCTAATTTTGGTAAGTCCAATCAATTTAGACATCCAAAAGTTTTAAAATTCGAAAATTTCAATAAAAATTGGATTAGAACTGTTATGTATTTAGAGATTTCAAAAAATTCCGAATTACAAAATATATTGGGGTTTCAAGCTTAGACTACACAAAATTACTAATTTCATGTTGAACTAACTATAATTTGATGACCAAATAGACATAGACAAGTTATTTTATAAAAGATAACAACATCTAAGTACTAGCATATAATAGTTTTCCAAACTTACGGCATGCGTTTTCAATTTGAGTCAATTTTAATCTTTCAAATGGTTGGGTATATTTAGAATTTTGAACTAGTTCATGAAATTTTCCAAAAAAATTCCTAAATTTTCCATAAATTCCATAAATTCTGAATTTTCGAAATTGGAATGGATATTGAAATTCTGAATTCTTTTGGAATGAAATTGGAATAGAATTTTCATTCCGAATTTTTTTGGATTAGAATTGGAATCCCTTGATTCCGATCCTATCCATCCAAAAATCAACCCTAATAAGTAGTAATACAAAAAAAAAAAAAAAAAAGAATTTAATTATTCTAGCTTACTTTTTATTCTTTTTTGAAGAAAAAGAGAAGGAAAAAAAAAAGGTAAGAGAAAGGGGTGGGCGTTTGAAAAATAAATGGGGTGATCAAATTGGGATTTCAAGCCTCTGCATTTAGATTTCATGCATTTACCCGCATTTATTTGAATCTCAACTATCACAATAATCCAATTGTTAAAAGTGAAGCCAAATAGCTACCTTAACTTTAATGTTATTTATGGTGTTAATGATTTTCTGTTGGTGGTTTCTCTGCTTTTTATTCCTATGACTTACAGGAGAACATGTACTATTAACTATGTATCTAATGGCAGAAAATAAAAAAGGCAATTGATTAACCCATTGCATAGCCCTCATATTGTAGTTTCCACCTGTGCCCATAACTTTTTTTTTTGGTTGAAAATGCCCGGAAACCTTCAACAATGACAAAAAGGAGAAACAAAGAGACAAGATGCTTAAACCCAACAAGCTAATGGGGAAGTTGGGATTAAATCAAAATTGGTTGAACCCAACCCCCAACTTCCAGTAAACAAAGCCAACGACACCAAATTTTATCCAGACATATGATGCTCGACTCACAAATCCAAATCCATTGAATTAAACTTCTCAGATGATTAAAAAAGAAAGAAGGCAGTTGTGTGGTGGTGGATTGGGACAAAGTAATGGAGTAGTCATCAGTTTTGATAACAAAAGATCAAAGAAAATTAAGGTAGCTTATGTGGCTTAAATTTTAATCATTAGATTATTATAATGGTTGAGATTAAACTAAATACAAGTAAAGGCATGGAATCTAAATGCAGAGGTTTGGGATCCATTACCCTTTAATTTTCGAATACAATCCTCCGCATTCGCGTGAGACAAATGGGTTGAACAAGTATATGCATTAAATTAATGAGGCATTGATCATACAATTTGGTGGGTATTTTGTAGGATGTGGATCCTTTGTTTGTTTGTTTTTCATACTTGAATCTGCTTGATTTTTATTTTGAGCATGTCACGTCATTAAAAAATAATCCAAACACCAAAAACATGAAACCACATATTTTTCGTCAGCTGCCTTCTTCCCCATTTTAGCGTTCTGTCAAAACCAAAAACCAAACCAAGAGGAAAACCTCTTCTCCTTTCAATCACGCTTTTCCTTTCCTTTCCTTTTCTCCAAAAAGCCATTCTCTCTATTCATCTAATTCTACAATCCGGACAGAATTCTTTTTATTTTTTTTCTCGATATACCCCTAAATTTAACAAATGAAACAAAAACATTCAATCCTAAATCTGAGTAACAGATTTAGAGTACCTTAATTTTAAAGTACTCGATCTTATTAAAACTGAGTAAGGGATCCATTTTTATCATTAGTCACTTAATTGTGTGGCTTCAGATTTTTTAAAAACGAAAAAACAACTTTGATTGCCTTTGCTATACAAGTCCTGATCTGATTTGGGTGGCTACTTCCAGATGACAAAGATGAACAAATTATAAGTTTTGAGACGAAGAGTGATTGAAAGGAGCTACTTGTTTTGTTTCTCTTTTTTTGGGTCCAGCCGCTGGAAGCTTGGTTTGGTTGTGAGAGAATGATAAAATGGAGAAGAAGAGCTGCATAGGGAAAAATATGTTTTTAGGTTTTGGATGATTTTTAAATGACGTGCCATGCTCAGAAAAAAAAAAAAAGTCAAGCAGATCCAAGCAAGAAAAAACCGAGTAGAGAATCCGCCCCCTATTTTGTAAGGCTACATCCAACCTTGAAGAAGAGGTGGACACAGATCCTTGCATGGGGAATTGGCTTGAACAAGTGTAGGCACTGAATTATTGAGGGAAAAATAGGGTACATATGCGCGCAAAACATAATTGACAGCTCAGTGCATCATAAGATTCATATATTAGAGAGAGATGATAGCGAACAATCTTTGCCGAGAGAGAGAGAGAGAGAGAGAGAGAGAGAGAGAGAGATCATTTACCTGATGATGAGGATTCTGGGGATTGTTTCTGCTCCACCGCCACTAGTTTTTCCCCGTCTAGCTTAAAGACGATTCGTTCGTGGTTAGCGAAAAACTGTGCTGGAAGGAACATCGTTGTCTTCGTACCTTTAGCAGTTGTTGCGCTGACATGAACTGTTCTGGGAACACCATCATAAGAACTACGATCTAGGAATGTCTTGGCTTTTATCACCTTGCGATCCTTAGGTGGCATCGTAGCGAATAGCGTGCCCCCCGATTCATCACCTCTCTCGACCTCTCGTATCTCAAGAACCCCCTCTGTACAGTTTTCAATCTCGGTCTTCCGGGAAAACAAACTCGCCATTGACTAACTATTCCAACCCAACGACTCTGTAAACCGGTGTCTATTGTCTTTATAGCGTATGACATGTTAGAAAATGACAAAAGTACCCATATTTTTTAAACATAGATAATTTATTAAACATCATTTTCCTTCTATTTCCTTTTTCTTTTTCTTTTTCTTTCAACAAAAGTTGAATTTTGCAAAAATGGTTGTAGGCCGGTAAAACTTAAAGCTTGAGGAATTTTAGTGGTGTAAAATGTTTTAGATCTTGTAGCATTTTTGTCAATTTTTTTTTTTTTTAATTTTTTATGCAAATATTTCTATTCAAGTTGTTTTCCTACAAGACATTTTCTTGGGGAGCATTTGCTCCAAACCACTACGCTGCTAAAATATGAAAACTATGAGAGAATATTTATTTGTGAGAATTTTCTGTGTATTCTTCTCCTTGTAGGAAGTCATATTTATAATACAACAAAACCTGAATGAGCAAGTAAATAATAAATTCCTAAATCTATTTACAATAGGAAATCAAGAATTAAAATAAATTAATTACAATTATAATAGGAATTCTTGATGTGTAAGAAAAGTAAGTCAATATCCACAAGTCACGCCAACACTTCCCCTCACGTTGATGCATAGATGTCGTCAATGCCCAATTGATCCAGTGAATTATGGAATGCTTTACTGGAAATCACTTGAAACACTTTAGCATCAAGCTTCTGTTTGATGAAGTGTCGATCCACCTCAAAGTGTTTAGTTTCTGTTTGAGGAAGTGTCGATCTACCTTAACATGTTTAGTACGATCATGCTGAACTGGATTCTGTGCAATGGCTATAGTAGCCTTGTTGTCACAAAAGAGATTGTGGATGTAGATTTATATCCAAGTTCAGTAAACAACTTTTTTAACCAAAAAAAGTTCACAAATCCCTTTATTCATGCCTCTGAACTCGGCTTCTGCACTGGATAAAGCTACTACATTCTGTTTCTTACTCCTCCATGTCACCAAATTACCTCCCACGAATGTGAAGTAACCCGATGTGAATTTTCTATTTGTTACATTACCAATCTGCATCTGAATAACCATCAATATTTAGATAACCATGTTTTGAGAATATAAGTCTTTTTCTAGGTGCAGACTTCAAATATCTAAGTATCCGAAGAACTGCATTCATGTGGTCTTCACTTGGAGAATGCATAAATTGACTGACAACGCTTACCGCATAAGCAATGTCTGGTCGAGTATGTGACAAATAGATCAATCTTCCCACTAACCGTTGGTATCTTTCTTTGTTAGTTGGAACTTGATCCGGATATTCTCCAAGATGATGATTCTGAATAATAGGAGTGTCCGTAGGTTTGCAATCTAGCATTCCTGTATCTCTCAACAAGTCCAAGACATATTTCCTTTGAGAGAGAAATATGCCTTGCTGCGATCGAGCCACTTCAATTCCCAAAAAATCCTTGAGTCCATCTAGATCCTTCATCTCAAACTCTGTAGCCAAATAGTCTTGTAGTTATGATATTTCATATTTATCATTCCCAGTAATAATCATATCATCAATATAGATTATTAATGTTGTTACCTTCCCCTTCCGATGTTTCGATAACAGAGTATGATCTGAGTTGCATTGTTTGAAACCATTGTTCTTCATTGCCATGGTGAACTGTCCAAATCATGCATGTGGTGACTGTTTCAATCCATACAATGCTCTTCGTAATCTGCAAACTGTTCCAGTCTGAGTAGTATTATATCCAGGAGGGATGTCTATATACACCTCCTCTGTGAGTTCGCCATGTAAAAAAACATTCTTTACATCAAACTGGTGTAGTGACCAATCTAAATTAGCTGCAAGGGACAATAAGACTATGACGGTGTTTAACTTTGCAACTGGAGCAAATGTTTCTTTATAGTCTATACCATAGGTCTATGTGTACTCTTTTGCCACAAATCTTACCTTGTATCACTAGATAGATCCATCTCCATTGTGTTTTATAGTAAGCACTCATTTACATTCGATAGTCTTTTTCCCTCGTGGTATAATATCCAATGTCCAAGTCTGATTTTTCTCAAGAGCTTTCATCTCCTCTTTTATAACTTGGACCCATTTAGGATCTTTCAATACTTCAGAGATCTTGGTTGAAATATGGATAGTAGACAATTGGTGCACAAAAGCCTTGAGTGGTTCTGATAGTTTCTCAGTGGATACATGATTTGCAATTGGATACTTGGATGTCTTGCCAATATCAGGTGAATAATGGTTTAGTGGCTTCCCACGATTTTGCCTGAAAAGTAATTGATATCCAATAGTTTTATCCTCTAAATGCATAAGTCTAGTAGGAATAAATACCTCAAGGATATTCTCAGGAGATTGGTCTGTTGTACTGTTGAGTTAGAAGGGGGTCTTCATCTTGTTGTTCTGTATTGTCTGTAAGTGTGAGATTCGGATCAGAAATATCTTCACATGGATCAGGTGGGTCAGACAATTGATCGCTATGAATGGGCGATTGATTGCTTTCGACAGAGAGTAATCTTTTGCTTCAGATTCGGGACGATCAATCATTTTCGTACAGCTCAGATTCCAGAAAGATCACATCTAAAGTGACATAGGTACGTCGGGTAGGAGGGTGATAACAGCGGTAGCCTTTCTGATGAGTGACATAACTCAAAAAAACACAACGAAGTGCACATGGATCAATTTTGCTATGTTGATTTTTGTGGAGATGAACGAAAGCCACACATCCAAAGATTCGGGGCGTGAGTACCAAAACAGAGGGTAGATATATGTATTGCACAAGCACATGTAAGGGAGTTTTAAAGGTCAATACACCAGAAGGCATGCGGTTGATCAGGTGAACTGCAGTGACAATAGCATTATTCCAGTGATGGCGAGGAACATGAGCGCTAATTAGAAGTGCTCGGGGGGTTTCAAGAAGATGTCGATTCTTTCGTTTAGCAACATCATTTTATTGCGGTGTTTGAGAACAAGTCGTCTCATGGATAATTCCATGTTATTGGAAGTAAGTCTGAAAGTCATGATTGACAAATTCTCCACTATTGTCTGAGCGAAGAATCTGGATTTGAGTATTAAACTGAGTTTTCATCTGTTTATGGAATGACTGAAAACGGAAAAACACTTCGTTTTTATTCTTTAGCAAATAAAGTCATGTCATTCATGTACAATCATCTATGAATGTGACAAACCATCGAACACCAGAAGGAGCAGTGATGGGGGAAGGTCCCCAGACATCAGAGTGAATTAATGAAAATGGAGTAGTACACTTGTTCGTATTTAACGGATAAGGCACACGATGACTCTTGGCCAAAATACAAGTATCACATGTGAAGTCAGAGTCCTTAAAACCTGAGAATAAATCTGGTATAAGATGCTTCATATAATTAAAAGACGGATGTCCCAATCGACGGTGCCACAACCATACTTGCTTTTGTTTGCTATCAAAGGGATGCAGTAGGAAATCAGGAATTAAAGTAAATCAATTACAATTATAATAGGAATTCTTAGTGTGTAAGGAAAGTAAGTCAATATCCACAAGTCACGCCAACATACGCTATGTGAGTTCTAGCATAGTGAAAAAATAGTATTAACTTGCAAACTAATGGTCTCAAATTCGAACCTTTATGACACTTTGGTTGTGTGTGTGTGATGACACATATGACACCTAGACTATTGGCTGTATTAAAAAAAGTAATTAAAATTGATCATTAATATTGTTTTTTTTCTTCTTAATATCCAGACTTCTTTATAATAGCCATTATTACAAGAAATGGTGGATGATGATAGAAGTCTGAATTGTGTTCCAGCGCTGATTAGTCATTGGTCCAGTTGTCATAGTGTTATTAGGCCACGTGTAATATTCTTTTGCTGGATTAGTTACTTTTTTTTTTTTCCAAAGATTAGTTACTGATTTGGTTAGCATCAGTTGGTTTGTTTTTTAATTGGCGCCAAGTGTTGTGTGCGAATCAGAATTAATACTGATAGAAATCATCAGGTATAGCTCTTTGGTTAATTTTGCACTTTGCTACGCGCGAATCTCAAAGAACTGTACCTGATGATTTCTATGAAAGAAGACTTTGTGTCTCATATGCGTGAATAACAGCTATTTAAAAATAAAAAATAAAAACTTGTTTAAAATAAGGCAAATGAACGACCACCAGCACGACGGCGTCCCGATTGAAGTAACTAAATGTCACAAACCAACAGCTGGCTTGTTTAAAATAAATTTTGATGGCGCCTTCCTACAAGATCTCCCCTCGAACCGGCTGAGGTTCTAAAAACAATGAATTAAAATAAAAGATAGTTGTCATACTTCTAGGTATTATTTTTTTAGTAGAAAAGATAGTTTAAATTATAAGGAGAGATGGATTGGAACCCAAAATTACTAATCTATAAATCAAGATTTTTTTACACTTGACTGGATTCCGATAACATAAATTTAGATATTTAATGTATATATGTATATTCTTAACATGAAGTGACTTGTGGTTTATAGGCCCATTGCCTTCCGCTTTATCTTTGCCTTTGGTTTTGCATGTGCCCCTTATTATTTTTAGAAATTTAGTTATATACATAATCTTATAAAGAAACTATATACTATTTAAAAACTATAAACACACTTCAAAAAACTTCAAGTCAATTTTTTTTTTAAAATTTAATAGCTGTTTTTTAGTTTATTTGTATGTGTTAAATACCTATATTGCCTTTGTATTATGGATTTGAGATAGAAAAATCAGATCTGGGCAGATCTACCAAAAAACCAAATCAGATTTATTTTCTCCTTTCTTGTTGGTGCTTTCTCTAGTGTTGAGCAAGAGGAGCTTCCATTGAAGCTCAGTCTCAGATCCAACTATATTCTTCATCTTTAATATATGATTTTCAATATTTCACCTTCGATTTCTTGTTCTAAAATCGTGCTTCTATTGATTTTTTTTTCTTTTCGGATTGTTCAAGACCTCGAACGAACCTTGATAAAATGCTCTTAGCTTTCCTCCTCATCTTCGAGCTCTACTCCTTTTCACCA